GGGCCACCGCGAGGCCCCGTCACGAGGTCTCCACCAGATGGGCCGACCCCGTCGTCAACACGCTCAGGTCGAAGCGGCACCGAGGCCCCAGTCACCGGACGAGCATCTGGCAGCGGGATGATGGAAGGCGGGGGGCATAACTCGTCGGACACGGTAGAGGATCGACCCCCTCGGGACTTCCGGAAAGGACGCGGAGGCCACCATGCCGAGGGAGCCGACGAATCGGCACCGGCGGAAGGTAGCCCGGATGCACTTCCCTTCTCGGCGGAGGTGGGGTCCTCAGTGGTCAAGGGGCAGACAACCGGCGTGTCCGATCCACTGCCAGGCGGGGGCAGAGGGAGCGAGGGACCGCCCCGAGAAGGGATGAGGGACGACATAGAAAGACACGGGACGCGCGAACCGAGTACGCGACCGACAGAGTTGACGAGCCCGTGAGGAAGGACGGGAGAGGGAGCCGACCGAGCTGAGGCCGGATGAACGAGGACGGACTCCCACGACGGGGGTAGTAGGGTGATGACGAGAACCAGCCCGGAGGGCACACGCAGGATCGCGCGCCGGAAAGGGGGCAGGGGCGACGGAGTGACGACGAACTCGTCGTCCCCAGAAGGGGAGGAGGAATGACCTGCTCGCACGTAGGGAGGTGCGAGACGGAACACGGAGGATAGCGAGCAGGGAGCAGAGTCGACAGGGAGAGCGGAATCGACCGTATAGACGGCGTGGCCGGACATGTTGTCCCCTCTCTACAAGCACCCGTGGACGCGGACGTCCCCGCTTAAAGGGGGGGCCGTGTAGTATAACTGTGGTATAACTACCTTCGTCCCGACCACTCGGAACGAGGGGGGTTAGAGGTAAGGGAGCGCGCGACGCTGGGTAACCCACACGAGCGCGAACCGTACGGAAGGACTCGAAAAGAGGGAAGGCTCACGTGGCCGGTGACGCGCAGCCGGTCGGTGGTGTCAGATCCGGACGGCCGGTCACGGGTTAGAAGCCTGAGACTTAGAGGTAAAACCGGACGGAGTTAGCAAAAAGCCGTAAAGGGAAGGGAGGCGAGTCTGCCCCCGTTTACTGGAGCGGGGCAGGTGCCCCTGGTCTTAACCCCTCAGTGGGACGCCAGGACACCTGTCCCGCTACAGTAGCTGTTACATACTGTATACCAGCTACTGTACTAAATTGGCTAATTTGTGCCATTAACCACTAATTGCTAATTACTTACCGGATGGTCGCACACGTGTGCCCGTGGCCACGGCCGGCGCCAACGGTTGTGTCACGTGTACGCCGTGGAGGTACTACTGTGCTCGCAGCGGGCGCGTGCACGATTACTACAGTAGTAACCGCCCGTCTCGGGGGTTCTCATCTCCCACCGGGGGTCGCAGTGTGGAGTTGTACCACAGACCCCCTTCCTTACCTCGCGACACGTCCTCGTCGCGGCCGGGGGTTGACATGACCGGCTGGCAGGGTGTCCCATCCGTACGGAGAAGTCCGCGCCGACCACGGGGGCGCGGGCGGCTGCGGCCAACTCCATGGGGGAGCCCATGGAGTTTTTGGTATTTAACCGCGTCGGATCCCCTGGCGCGGCAATGGGTCCCCTCACGCTTTCCTTTTCTCCCACCTCACTCCACACCACGCACCCCATTACCTCCACTTCCAAATCTCGCCCCCTCCTACCGTCCTCTCCCCGCATGGATAACCGATCATCCGAGCGGGGTCGCCCCCCTCGGGCTCAGCCCCCTGCGGTGCCAGCCGCGCCGGTACCGACCTTTCACCCGGCGCTGGCGGCGGGTCCCGGGGGTCGAAACGCGACGAGCATCGCGGCTCCGCGGGTGCGGGCTTCGGGCGCGGGGGTCCTTCCCTCGCGCGGCCCTACCGCCGTCCAAGGTCCCCTGCCGCGCCCTCTGCGCTCCGCCCGGGCTCCCCACGTCGGCGAGACGACCGTACTGAGACGGTCCCCCGACTGGGCTGTAGCCGCGGGGCAGGCGACGGCCGGCGCGGATAACCACCCGGTACCGCCGGATCCGTACGCGGCCACGCCCCCGGCGACCGAGGCTCCGCCGTCCAGCTGGCTCCGGACGGGTGTGCGTGCCGTGCGGGGTTTGCTACCCGGGGCCGAGTTAGACCACCGGATTCCCCGAGGCGGTCGCAACCCCTCACAGGCGCAGCCGCCGATGTCCGCCGAGGCGTACATCGCGACGGCCTTCCCCGATGCCGCTCGGTTTGGGGCCATCCCCAGGCGACGGGGTATCCGTACGCCCTCCCCTCGCGGTCGAATCCGCCAAGACAACCGCGCGGCCGCTTGGAGGACCCGCTGGGTCCACGTGCCCCACCGCGTGATGGCGGACTCCCGCTCGGATCTCCTGTACATCCGCTGTGCGGGGGAGGACCGGTACCATTCGCGGTTGTTCGACCTCTTCGAGAGGTTCGGCGGGGACGTGGATCCTAAGCCCCACGTGCAATTGGTGGCATTCCCCCGCCCGTTCGACCGGTGGTACAGCGTGGCTAACCGTGTGCAGTGGGGCGAGAATTCCGCCAAGGAGAGCCGGCTGCGGTGCCGCCGCGCCGATGCCTACTTCCACATGTGGCATACGACGGAATTCTTCGCCGTGCCCACAGGGGCCAGGGGGCAGCTATACCCAGCCCTACCGAGCGGTTGGAGCAATCTGGAAGCTCCGCAGTACCTCTGCGTACCCACGCCCAGCGTGCTGGCTTATGCCGCAGCGCGGTGGATGCCGGACGGTTCCTTCGGGCGAGAAGCGACGCCCGGGATGCGTCGACTGATCGACGCCATCCTGCTCTCGGAGTGGGCCGTCCTGGCGTTGCTGTGTTTCCTACACGCCGCACGGGACGGCCTCCCGTTCTTCACCAAGTGCCCGGACCCTCGCCTAGCGAGCCGGACCGGGAACGAGCCCGGCGAGCGAGGCTCTCTCTTCCGTTTGTCGGCGGGGCCTCTGCAGCTCATCCGATCGGTCGGGGTGGCCGCCATCCTCGAGGGGACGTCGTTCGACCCGGTTGGCGCGGAGGCCATCCTCGATTTTTCCGAACGGTTGGACTGGTCCCTCCCGGAGCGCCGCGACTTCGTGTGGTACAGTTGGGCCCGCGGCTGTTCCCTGCGGATGCCGCATTGGGATGGCACGTCGGCGGAGGCCGACCACTGGTACGACCCCCTGCCCGACCACGGGTCGCCGTCGTACGGGGCGGTCATCGCCTCCGGTGACGGGTGGGGCGCCGCGGTTGCTTCCGCCGGGACCCCGGCCGGACCGTCCGTCGGGTCTCTGCCCGCGTCAACCGAGTCGGTCCTACTGATGCGGGGGGACCCTGCCCTTGGAGAGGGCCTTCCAGTCGGTCCCTCGACGCCTCCCACGATGAGAGACGCGATCACTGCGGGTTCTCCGCCTGTGATCGCGGCAGCGCCGGCCACGGCAACACCGGTCATGGAAGTGCCGGTAACGGAAGTGCCGGTAACGGACCCCGCCCCGGTGGGGGCCGCTCGCAAGGCTCCTTCTGTCGAGCCCGCGGGGGGCAACCTCCCTGCGGTGGCTACCGGATCGGTGCCGGGCCCTGCCGGTTTCCCCGTCAGCGAAATGACCGCGACGGGGACACAGACCCCCTCTATGGCGGCCGGTGGGGCTCCGAGTGAGGCGCCAGCAGACGAAGCCCCCGTCTTGGTTCCGGACGCGCAGGCCGCCCTGCGCGCTCTGCAGACGGAGTGTGGCTACGCGGGGGTCCCTGCACCGACCACCCTTGCGGCGGCTTTGGAGTCCGCGCGCACCTGGCTGGTCGAGGCGACCCAGCTCAGGGCGCGGGTGGCCGGCTTGCAGTTCGCCATCCGCCAGCGCGACACTGGCGAGGATCTCCTGCGCAGTGAGACGATGGCGCGGATCCGTTCGGCACAGGACCACCTCGCCGTCTTGAGCGAGCAGGTGTCCGCGAAGAGACCGTACGGTACCGTCGACACTGATCCCGCCAGCGCGGCGGCGCGGGGGGCGGAGCCCTCTGCCAAACGCCAGCGCCGCGAGTGATGCCAGCGGGGGAGGCGGTGAGAGTAGCGAACCGCCTCCGGGGACCAGGTCCCGTCCGTTCCAGTAAATTGCGCGCCTCCTGTCCTTCTTCTTTCTCTTCTTCACTGCCCTTCCCGTTCGGTACTGTAGCCCTTCCGCGCCGGTCGGGTCCGGCGCGGGGCCGTGGTCGTGTGAAGCACCACTCGCGCATCCGCGGCGGGGGCTTGTCGCTCGGCGGGGGCTCCGCCGTCTCGGTAGGCGAGGGCTCGGACGCCAGTACAGCGCCACTTCCCCACACCTGTTCGCCGGTTGTCCTCGTGGCGGCCGGGTTACCCTCTGGCTCATGGCGGTGAGGCTCCGCGCGGTGGGTGCCCGAAGTGGTCGCGGGGTGGTTCCTCCAGTCACCCCCGCGACAGTGGAGGACCCCCACCCGGTGGGCAATTTTGACCGGATTTTACCGCCCCGCGGCGGGTGGCCTTTTCAGGGCGTTGACCAGCTCCGATTGGGCACCCCCCGGGGTCGGAGGCGTCTTGAACCGCCTCCATGGGCCAGCGGCCACACGTGCCGGGCGGTGTATGCCGCTCGCGCAACACGTGGCCTACAGTGCCCTGGAGCCCCGGTGAGGTCGTCCCCAAACGGTATTTACGCGCTGGGTTTCGTCCCTCGCCAGCGGGTAGGCACTGGGGTGCCGGGCCGTTTGGCCACCGCCGCGTGGGGTAGTCCTTTCGGCAGGTCAGCCTCCTCCTGCGCCGGGTCTTCCCGCGCGGGGCTTGCGGTGATGCGCGCGGGGTTCCGCGTGCGTCTGTGGCGACGTCGCCCCCTCCTGCGCCGGGTCTTCCGGCGCGGGGCTTGCGGTGACGCGCGCGGGGTTCCGCGGGCGTCTGTGGCGACGTCGCCCCCTCCTGCGCCGGGTCTTCCGGCGCGGGGCTTGCGGTGGCGATTGGCCGCCGCGCGGGGGAGGTCCTCCTCGGGATCGTCCCGCCCCACGCTGGGTTGCCCAGTGCGGTGTTAGCGGTGGCGTGCTGCCGCCCGCGTGCGCCAGAAGCGGTCTATGAAGCCCTTGGGGAGTCCCTCCGCGGGTTCCCAGGTATCGTCCGCTGGGGCGTAGCCATACCAGCGGACCTTATACTGGGCCCCTGTGCGGTTCTCCCGGTGACCGACCAGATGGTCGATCACATACTCCGCGGCGGGTTCGGGTTCTCCGGCCGCCGCGGGCTGGGTCGGGGCGGCCGTAGTGACGTCGCGGGGTCCCCGCGGCATCCGGGTTATCCGATCGATGCTCACGCGGTTTGAGACTCCGTCTTGATCGACGACCACTGTGGTCTCCGTAGCGGATCGGACCCGAAACGGGCCTTCCGTTTTCGGCAACAGCTTGACGGAGGGTCCCCCGTCATTACTTGGCAGGTCTCCCCGTTCGGTACTCGTCAATGGCCGAGGTGGGCGGTCAACATAGACCAGGTCTCCCACCTCGATGACCGGACGGAAACGCACCTTCTTATCGAAGTCGGCCTGGTATCGCCTTTGCGCCGCGGTTAGCTTCACCCGCGCGCGCTCAAGGGCGTCGCGGAGTTTACGCAGCGTCGCGCGCTTGTACTGTACCGGGGTCCTCGGATCTTCCGTGTTGGAGACGGCATCCTGCGGTACAGTACCGGGCAGCGCCAAACCGGACGGTGGTCGCGTCAGCACCAGGTCGAACGGGGTTGTCTCCGTTGACCGGTGGACCTGCGTGTTATACGCGAAGGTCAGGGGCTGGATGTATTCGTCCCAGTCCCTCTGGTGCTCCGCGACATAATGTCGGAGGCGCTGTACCAGAGTACGGTTGAACCGTTCGGTTTGCCCATTTGTTTGGGGGTGGTAGGCGGTAGTCAGGTAGTGCCTCACCCCCAGCAAGGCGCACACCGCGTCGAAGAACTTGGCGGCAAATTGTGGTCCGTTATCGGTTAGCACGTAACGAGGTGCGCCGTATACGTAGACCCAATTGTCCAGGAAGGCGTTTGCCACGACCGACGCGGTGGTTGTCCGTAACGGGATACTGCGCGTCAGCTTCGTAAACCGGTCGGTCATGACGAGCACGTGGCGATTCCCGTGCGCCGTCTTCGGTAAAGGACCCAGCAGGTCCATGGCGACGAAATCCAGCGGTCCTGCCGCTGGGAACAGCTTGAGATCCTTCTGGTGCCTCACCAGGGTTCCCCGGGGGGCAGCGCATGACGCGCAATTCCGTACGGTACTGAAGGCGTCATTGGCCATATGAGGCCAATAATATTCCCGCCGGAGGGTATAGTACATCCTCGTACCGCCCGGGTGTCCGGCTAGGCGGGGATGATGGGCGAGGTACAATATCTTCGCCCGGAGCCGCTTCGGTACAACCCGCTGCAGGGTCCCATCGAGGGGGGACTTGCGGACGACGAACCCGTATCGGTCAACGTCGTATCGCGAGTCCGGGTTCCCCACAGTCTCGGCGGCCGCCCTACAGAAGGGGTCCTCGGCCTGTTCCCGAAGGAACTCTTCCACCGTTACGGGTGAGACGTCGCGTTCTTCGGGTATAACCGCGAACGCATGCTCAACTCTCCCCGGGTCGACGGGGGTCTCCCAGTGTACGGTACCTTGGCGGGGGTTATGCTCCTCCTCTTGCCATTGTACCGCGAAACACGGGACCTCGTCGTCAACCGGTTCGGGGGTTGCGCCGTCAACTCCGAGGCGTGATACACCATCCGCCAGTTGGTGCTTAATACCCGGCCGGTACTGTACGTCGTAGTCGTACTCGGCTAGGCGGAGACGCCAGCGCTCTAGCGGGCCGGAGCTATTCGCCAGGTTGAGAACCCAGCGGAGGGCCTCATGATCCGTACGGAGGTCGAACGTATTCCCATACAGGTATGGTCGAAGCGTGAGAATACTCCATACGACGGCGAGGCATTCCTTCTCGGTAGTGGTGTAGTTCCTTTCCGCGTCCGTGAGAGCGCGGCTCCAATAACCGATCGGTAGGCGGTCGCCGTCCGGCTGCTCCTGTAGTAGGGCACAGCCGACCTGGTACGCGCAAGCGTCCGTGTCCAGGGTGTATTTCTTTCCGTAACGGGGTAGAGCGAGGATCGGTGGGGACACGAGGCGCTTCTTGAGTTCCACGAACGCCTCGTATTCCTCATCGGTAAGAACCTCAAACTCGAAGGGTTGATTTTTCCCCGTCTTCCGGTTTAGCGGGGCTGCTATTTTCGCGAAGCCCTTCACGAACCGACGGTACACGTTGCACATTACTAAGAATGACCGCAATT